CCACAGCCTCAGTGCCTGGAGCTAAACAAGAGTGAGATTCCATACTCCAAGCAAGGCTGGAACTAGGATTTAGTGAAGTTGGGTCACCTCCAAGAGAGCACAAATTCAAGAAGAACGTCAAACTGATGGCCAGACAAAACTAAAACTGCACTTTCTGTCCCCAAATCTGTCTATGCTGCTTCTTTGTAATACTCGTAACTTTGGTTGTCCAGATAATAGATACATGCTTTCTGCTCTTCAGACATTGCGGATGGGAAAAATGTGTCATCCTGGCTCTTCTCCTAGGAATAATATTACAGAGCATAAAAACGCTGTGTCCTTCTAGGAATGGAAAATAGGTAGAATAGGGATTTCATCTGAGAAACACTGTTGTTACTAGCAGAGGGCAAGAACTGAAGTTATGGTAGGTATTCTAATACTGAACATCTGGATACCCTAATTCTAGGCTCAAATCTTGCACCACACTGTTTTTGTGTTAAACATAAAACCTGCAGGAGCTTGTGCTGTGGGCTCATGGAATGTCAGATAACAGCAAGATCATGAAAGCTAATGAAAAGGTGGAGTTTTTCCCCATATATTGAATTGAGATTAATTTCATGCAGAACTAATCACAGCAAAGCTGAAGTCTTACAACTTTTAAGTGTAACATCTAGAATTTAGCCTAATTACTTTGCTTAAATTGCTGATTTCTTCCACATCCCCTCTCATGCTGAACCTGGTTTTCAGCATAGAACTAATAAAACCCTCAACACTTTATGGCAGCTCTACAGGTATCACTACTCTTATATTTGGCCTAGCACATTTTTAAAGGGGGATTTACAGGGTTTTCCCTCCAGCTAACAGGAACAAAGGCCATTCCCCACACACATGTATCGTCGTAAAACCAAAGGGTATGCTGATAAAAGCAAGGAGGAAAGCTGAGATGCAGTTATTCAAGGGGCCTGCAGAAGGCCAACTTTTAATTAGAAACTTCATCTGGAACATAAACTATGAGCTCCTCACGCCCAAAGTGTTTTAGTGAATCACCTGTACAGGAATAAGGCAGCTACAGAGACCTCACACCTTGGGGAAGCCTCAGCCAGGTACATATGCAGATGTAAGTAAGCGACGTGGGATGCAGCCTTCCAGTATCGGAAGGGGGCCTATAGGGATGCCGGGGAGGGACTCTTCATTAGGGACTGTAGTGATAGGACAAGGGGTAATGGGTTAAAACTGAAACAGGGGAAGTTTAGATTGGATCTAAGGAGGAAATTCTTTCCTGTGAGGGTGGTGAGGCACTGGAATGGGTTGCCCAGGGAGGTTGTGAATGCTTCATCCCTGGCAGTGTTCAAGGCCAGGTTGGACGAGGCCTTGGGTGATATGGTTTAGAGCAAGGTGTCCCTGCCCATGGCAGGGGGTTTGGAACTTGATGAACTTAAGGTCCTTTCCAACCCTAACTATTCTATGATTCTAAGAGAAAAGATGCAGGAAAACCAGGAAACCTCCTGGACAAACCAGTGGGGCCGAAAGGGAATTGTGTTTTGAGAAGGGAAGGACCATGTTCCCTAAATATAATCCAGAATATCCACAAGGGCAGGCTGAGCACCTGTAGAGCTCATTGCATCCCACGGTGTGACACCCACTGTCTGTGCAGGAGTCAGCCCTGTGATTAATTGTTGGGTTTGATTATTTCCTACCCTAACAATGATGCTGTCAGCTCCATGAGTCTGTCAGCTGTGTGTAAACTCATGGATTTCCATCCCCTTCTACCTCTTTTGGGGCTGACCCTGCCCTCCTTGCACACCTACTGCTCTTCCCAAAATCCACCAGCATCTCAAAGTGGCTCAACCACACTCCCAGCCAGGGTCCTTTACACCTTGCAGAGCCATACATTATAGTTATCACAATAATAACCAAAAGCCAGCCTCATTTTGGACTACCCTACAATTTTTTGCCAACTTCCTCAGCACAGAAGATCCCCTTTTTCCAAAGTGAGCAGGTCACTATGAAAAATGATAGGCAGCATCCATGCCATATCTGTTATATTTAGCAACAGAGAATCCATCTGCATTATTCCTGGTCTCATTAAAGACTTGGCTCCTTGTAAATATTATGTCTCTAATCCACACATTCTCCCTCTGTGCTGTGCTTCAGGGTCTATTTAAGTAATAATTGGTATGCAACGTTGCAAAGAAATAGTGGCTGAGTGTTTGACAACATTACACAAGCTAATGGACGTAGGAGCAACCATGGCGGTTCTGGTGTGAAAAACCAACTCAGAGGTTGCTACCAGCATCTCTGCAAAAAGCCAGGGTACCTGGGTCCAAAGATGGATGTGATTTGGTCAACCTTGATTTGGTCGCCATAGTGGTAAAGGTTCTTCCTCATCTGTCGCTGCTCAGACTGCTGGTGGAGATTAGGGAGAGGACCTAAGGGGGTGAAGCAGGTCCTCACATTCAATGAGCAGGCTGCTTTAACCATGTAAACCCTTCTGCTGGCAGGAGGGACAGGCAGAAGGCCAGAAGGAAGCAGAGTGGTTACTTTCACCAGGCCCACTGGTTTTTATTGGCTTGAAGAACACATGAAATTGCTGCCAGATAAGGCTGGAGGAGCAAGTCATTAAGAACTAAAATCTACCACGGATGTACTTGAGTAACCTGGGCTTTGTTTGCATTCTACAGTCAAGTCCCAGAGCAGATGGGACTTTATGGAAGTCTGTCAAGGTGCCTACCTGATCCACCTGGAAAACCACATATCTGAAAAACAAGGCTGGATCATCCCAAATAAACATGCAATGCAAAGGAACGCAGCTCCCATTGACTGTGGAGCCGGGGGACCCTAAAACATGATGGTATTCTCAGGGCTGTCCTACCCTAGCACAACCACAGAGCAGAGACCAGCCTCCAGCACCCCCCAGAGCGGGCTCTGCTCCTGTCTGGAATTTCAGGATGGGATTGAAACTCCCTAAGCATTCCTGAAGTTGGCAATGCCACAATGCGGCGGTACTGCTGACCTCCATGAGGGGTTGATGGGTCCACTAAAGTCAGTGCTAACAATTCCAAGTCTTCCCCGTGGTTTCTGCAGGGCTCTACAGCGGCTGCATGTCCACCCCTAAGGACCTGCATGAATTCTTCATAGACAACATATATATGAAACACCCAAAACCATGAGTGACAGTGATGGGAACAGAGCTGATGTGATGACGTGTGTACCATTGAGGGCATCCTCTGCAGCACCACAGCTTTAGTGTTTGAAGGAAAACACCCTGCTTCCCCTCCTCATGCAGGACATGTAATTACAGGCCTCAGCCCAGCCAAAACAAACTCCATCCCACCAGCACTGAACTTCAGGACACGCAGGTGCAAACCTCTCCGTCAGACCCCTCTGGTTCCACCCCACATTTTTCCCCTCCAGCTATTCCAGCTGTATTTTTTTAATAACCCCATGGATCACATAACCCAGGCACTAATAAATCATTACAGTGCAAAAAACCACCAACAACTCAGCCAGCAGGACCACCAAGAACTTCCCATGCACACCATTGTGTCCACCCCTCACCAGACCAGCTAAAACAAACCCAACAGACCAAAATGAACCCCAAAGCCTGTGACTATCTCACCATCTCAACACAGCACGTTCAGGCAGGGAGTCAAATGTAAAGATTGGAACAAACTGGACTCAGGCCCCTCTTGCCTTGAAGATAAATGTGACAAAATGGGATTCCTGTTTCTCAACAGGTATAGTACCTCATTCTGAACAAGAGTCATCTTTCTCTCTGTAATCTCACCATCATGTTCCCCAATGTGACATCCCTCCAGCATTACCACCTCAGAGAGGAGAAACACAAAGTAATTTACAAACTCCAGGTGTTTATTCCTGTGAAAACAATGCCAGGTTCCTAAGAAACCACCAGGGATCATGGTGCGAGACAAGGGGGGTGCAGGCTCATAAAGCATCATCACTTGTTGTAGAACAAACTAAATAACAACTGATTCTTCTGTGCTCTGGTAACAAAACCTGATGCTGACTTCGCAGCAAGTGGTACCTGGTCCTGGCACTCTAAACCACCAGAGATTCCGGTCTCCTCACCACAATGGGACTGAGCAGAAGAAGATGTGCACTGCACAGTGAGAAGGATTGGCTCCCTTGCCCTCACCAGGGCATGGCATTTTTTATCCTTTCACCTAAAACTTGTATTTATTTCCTGTAGCAAAAGGGAAGGAACAAAAAAACCAAACCACAGGAACATAAGGGAAGGAATGAGAGCTGGCTCAGGCTAAAATGTTTGTGTTATCCCAGTGTGGAGCAAAACCAGCAGCAGCTTCCCAAAACTTCCCTTCTAAAGTTCCAGTGTTCCCTGCAAGAGGGGACCCAGCAACCCCCCTGCACTCCCTTTTGCATGGTCCTTATTTGCTGTGAGCCACGATCTCTCCTGTCAGTACCTCTAATCTAAATATTATATCATATCCCAGCCTGGTTTGGGTTGGAAGGGACCTTAAAGCTCATCCAGCTCCAACCCCTGCCACGGGCAGGGACCCCTTCCACTGGAGCAGCTTGCTCCAAGCCCCTGTGTCCAACCTGGCCTTGAGCACTGCCAGGGATGGGGCAGCCACAGCTTCTCTGGGCACCCTGTGCCAGCGCCTCAGCACCCTCACAGGGAAGAGCTTGTGCCTAAGAGCTCATCTAAACATCCTTAACTGCTGGGGTAAGGGGTCCTACTGCAGGTGTAATCACCCCTATTTGAAGAGCTCCTTACAGCATCCCCGCTCTCCAATTCTTTAGCTTACTACAAGTGGCATACAAAGCACAGAAAGCTGTACTTGATAGATCTGACGTGAGGAGTAAACATGACACCTATCAGATTTTATGAGCAGCGTCATCCACCACATTTTAACAAAACACTTGCAATTTGCCAGTGCTGTGTTTAGAGCAGCTTTTCCTTTTCTTCTACTTAAACACGAAGCCACTTTCAATCCCTTCTGCTGCAAACAGCCCCCCCAAGCCTCCCAAAATTAACCTACCTTTTGCAAAAGGCTGGAGAAACATAGATTTAAGGGGTTTCTTTTTCCTTGCAGTCCATATTCTCACTGGAGTCAGCTGAACTGAAGAAGTTCTATTTGAACTGCAGCCAGCCCGATGAATAAATCAAACTTCCTGGCCAAAGGTTTCAGTTGCACGACTTCCAAGTCGTGCCTGGGACCTCATACTTGGAGGCTGATGTTTTCCCTGGTATAAGGAATATTATCATCAGACCCCAGTGATGAGTCTGTACTGGAACGGCAGCATTAAAGACAACCTACAGCTTTCCCTATGGACAAATACCTCTGAACATTTTCCACCTAGGAAAAGCACGAATGGAAAAGGGCAGGACTTTGCCCTGCAAAAGCAGGTGGGGTAAAAAGCTCCACAGGGATCGTTCTCCTGAGCCAATCCTCAGGGATCCCACACAGGCTGGGCTTGGAGGAAAACTACCTTAGATCCAGAGGAAAGCAGTCACGAGGAAACATCACCTGCGGTGTGGATGCTGTAAAGTCAACAATAAAACTCTGGACCCTCTCAGTCTGCAGTTCCAGGGGGAAAATGGGAAGCCAACCACTCCTGCAATCCACGCTTCAAGACACAGGAGGGTTTCACCACTCTGAACTCTTTTCTGTTTGGTTTTAGAACTACTTGGTTAGGACTTTTAAAGGGACAGAGGCTTTGTTTGCCCAGGGCTGAAGATTGGGATGGAGCAAGCAGCTGCCCACAAGCCCCAGATGTGCTGCCTTTACTAATGATGAAGGCGAACCCTCGTCCTGCTCCCTGGTAATGACTTACAGGTGGGTTCCCCAACCCCTCCAAAAAGAAAAGCTCCTTTCTATAAACACCTCCCTGCGTTGCCAACACCAGGTTTTCCAGACAAGCCCTGATGGGAGCTGACAGCCCCCAAACAAGCGCGTTTATCGGCGCTCGGGGCTGCCCCTGCGGCACAAAGTTTTGCGAGGTGAAGGAAACACCAATCTTTGTCAGAGATTTGATTCAGTTTTTCCCTTGGCCGGCTCCGGAGCTGGAGCACAAATCAGCTTTGTGGTAATAACAGATTACAGAACACATCGCCACAAACAATTCCTGTTATTATTTTTGGGACACACACACACACACACACCAAGGGATGCGTAATAGAAATGTCGGCGATTCAGCAGCCACCTCGGAATTCATAAACAGCTCATGGTATTCCAAACACACTCTCCTATAATGAGACCGTCTTCAATTTTCCTTGGAAAAGAGACCTTTAAAGAATGCTAAAGCAGGTCGGCGCCCTTACGCACTGATGGAAATGGGAACAAAAGCATTTTGTCACCAGGCATCTCCTCCAGCATTATTTTCTTCGCTCTGCTTAAACAAACTGAAAAGTACGTGCCTTTTCCTCCCCTTGTTTTTTTTCATTCCTCCCTAAATATCTGCCATAGCTGCAATTTCATCCCCGGCGCTGAGCCACCATCTGTATGGAAACAAGGGTCCATTATCCCGAACCGTCCCCGGCTCTCGTTTTTCCTGCTTCGCTAATGTTGTTTAAAACACAGGATTAAAATGTCATCCCATCCCTGGCGTTCTGGGGAGCCCTGCGTCCTCCTCTCCTCCGGTCACGGTATACTTAATCAAGTGTAAATGATTAAAGTACTTCAATTAGAGCTACGTACATTCATTGCTGGCAATTCAAAGGCAGCGGCAGAAGTCGAGCTGAAAGAAGAAATTACTTCTACTACTTTGAGATCTCCATCTCCCGCTTTCCTCCTCCCAACGCAGCCATGGGACCCGGGAAAGGACTAAGAGCTCAGCGCCGGGCAGGATTTACCTTGGGGCACGTCCTTGCTTGGACAAAAGGCTGCTCTTTCCCTTTCAGCAAGTCTAGCAAGTATTATATTTTCAATTGAGATATGATTTTTAAGGGGGGGGGGGGGGGGGAAGAACCACAGAACACGCTGAAACCCACACATCCATGCAGCTCCTATGATTTTGCTTTCTAGTGATACCAAGGGAAGGCTTAAAATAGCCAGACTTGGGGAGGAAGAGGGGGAATAATCAATAAAATCAATAAAATCAATAAATATTAAGGAAATTCAGTGTTTTCAACGCTGGAAAGGGGATAGTGCCATGCCGACTGGGTAAACGCCGGAGAGTTGGGAGGCGATGGATGGGTCGATGCCGCGCAAATGAAAGGGAAATTTAAAATAATATGTTTAAAAACGGTGAAGAGGATTTAAAAATATACAAATAATGTTTTATGGGAAATTGGGGTTTGGTTTGGGGTTTTTTTTGGAAAGAGAAAAGATATTAATATGGGGGGGGGAGGAGAAGTAAACCCCCCCCTAAAGGAAAACACAAGCCCAGAGGAGCGCGGCCGGATGCTCCGCGGTCCACGCCGCCGGCGTCCGGGGGACCGCGGAGCATCCGCGCGCCTCCCCGCGGGGTTCCCGTTGCCGAAACTTTCCTGCCGCCTCCTCCCCGTTAATCCCCCCGGCAGATGCTGTCGCCGGCGCTCGGCACTAAGTAAACAATGCGGAGCCCGGCACAACAAAAGATTTCCCACTTCACCCCGCCGCTGCGCGCCCGCGCAACTTGCGCGGCCGCCTCCCACCACCACCCCCCTTTTCCCTTCCTCTTTCCCCCCCCCCCATCTCACCTCCCCCCCCCCATCCCTCTTCCCTTTCTTCCTTCGCTTCTCCTCCTCCATCAGCATGGATTTGGGAAGAAGCAAAGATGTCCTCGCTTCTCTTCCCTTGTCCTCCCGCCGCCGCCCCGTTACCTGCTCCCGGGGCCCGCGCCCCGCTCCTCAGCGCCGCATCCCTGCCCGCATCCGCCGGGATCCACCGCTCGCACACACACAACAGGGGGAAAAAAAACCAACTTAATCCTTCCCCCCCCCCCCTCCACCTCCTCCTCCTCCTCTCTCCCTCCTTCCCTGCTCTCCTGCTCCGCCCGCCGCGCCGGGAGCGGCTGGGGGGCAGCGGACCCCGCCGCGGCCCCAGCAGCAGCGGCGGGGGGATGCTCAGCGCAACTTGGAGGGGGGGTGGGAGGGTCGCTGGCTCCGGGGTGGGATTCCCCCCCTTTTTTCCCCCTCTTTTTTCCCTTTCCTTTCCCCCCCACCTTTTCCTTTTTCTTTTTTTTTTTTTTTTCCCTTTTTTTTAAGCCCCCCAAAAAAGGGGGGAGAAAAGTGCCCGGGCGGCGCTGGGCGGAGAGGCCGCTCCCCTCGCCACGCTGGGAAAAGGAGGCAGGGGCTCCCGTTCCCTGCTTTTTTTATTTATTTATTTTTTTTTCCTCCTCAATTTTTTAATTCTTTTTTTTTTATTATTCTTTTTCCTTTTTTTTTTTTTTTTTTTTTTGGCAATAGGCGGGGTCTCTCCTTGCAAACCAATGACACAAACCCACATGGACCAGCCTCGCCCCCTATAGATACTCTTCACTACAAATAGGCTCTCTCGGGGGATTAGTGGATCAGCTAAAGTACAAACAGACGCAGCAAGGAAGGGGCGGGGGGGGGGGGGGTGGCGGAGGAGGAGGAAGAGGAGGAGGAGGGACGGGGGGGGGACACGACACTGGGTCTGAGCCCTGCCCCGGGCACACCCGCTGGGCTCTGTGGGGTGGGAATGGGGCTCAACGGGGCTGCGTGGAGCCTGTTGCACTCCGTGGTGGCCCGTGGATGGATGGATGGATGGGAGCACACACAGCCTTTACCCCCCCAATCCCCTATTTCCCTGCTGGCATCCAAGATGGAGAGTCATACCAAAGGGGGGATACCCGTGGGATATCCAGTGCGCCCCTTGGGTCCAGGGTCGCCTTCACATCTCCATCACCCCCTGGACAGCTTCACCTGGTTATATCACCATCATCTTCATCATCCTCGATGCATGTAGGGTTTGGAATGGCAGTGGTGAGGCCATGGAATAAAGACCACTAGGCACATTGAGCCATGCTTGTCGATACCAGCCCTGCCAAGCCCCTGGTTGGATGTGCCGACTGGATCATGGCACTGGGTATTGGGCTGAGTGTGAGCTGAGGCAAGCACGCTGCCCCGTGCATTTATTTGTACGTGTGTTCCACACTGCCCCAGTAGATTTGGGAATTAATGTTTTGACAGACATTCTTCATCTGCTTATCACAAGAATGTGGGCAGGTGGTGATCCCATCTCTTTGTTGTGTAATCATCAGCCTTCTGCATTATATATATATCCCGTGCTCCTCAATCAGCCTGCAAAAAAAGCACATTCCTTTTCTAGTCTAATAAAGCCCTTGAACCACATCAATTGTCCATCAAAATTAATAAGCTAGCTTTCAGCTTTGTGGCTGAAATGACACAGTGAATATCCCAAACATCTTGATTCTTATCAGCATGTTTTGGGGCCTCGATGGATGTTTAAACCACATCCATCATTTCTCCTCTGAGCACCTGCTGCCGCGCTTCACATAGCATCAGTTCCCTGCGATCCACCACGGTGCAAGTGCCGAGATTAGATTTACATTAGACTGAGCTGAGCTCTTAGGCAGAAGCTCTTCCCTGTGAGGGTGCTGAGGCGCTGGCACAGGGTGCCCAGAGAAGCTGTGGCTGCCCCATCCCTGGCAGTGCTCAAGGCCAGGTTGGACACAGGGGCTCTGAGCAAGCTGCTCCAGTGGAAGGGGTCCCTGCCCATGGCAGGGGCTGGAGCTGGAGGAGCTGTCAGGTCCCTTCCAACCCAAACCGTTCCATGATTCCATGACTCTATGTTGAGTTCATGATATAAACAGACACAAATCATTATTTCATTGCCAGGGCAATTCAATGACAGGCTGTAAAGAAGAAAGCTCTGGAGTGAACATCTTAGTTTAGCAGGACAATCCTGAGGTGTGTGGATTTGCCTGCAGACTCTTTGGATTGTGATTGAGCATTCACCAAGGGTGAAGCAGCCTTTGCAGTTAGACACTAGGAAAGAAGATGCAGGGGAGGTTCAGCAGGGGGCCTGGAGCAATGGGTTTGAACTGCAAGCAGCAGGTTTTCAAAGTTCCATTCAGCTGCTGCCCAGCCTTGAGGGAGCTTTAACTCTTCCAGTATCCCACTGGTTGGTGCAAAATGTGCTTGGAGCAGGGGGGTGTTGTGGCTGCCCGGGGCTTGGGAGCAGCCATGCTGGGTTGGGAAAGGCAGACAGGCCAGAGAATGAGGATGGTCCTGCTGCCAGAGCAGGTGGATCCCTCTCCTGGCCTCTTTCCTCTGGGTTAGTTCAGGGTTTTATCCACTTTCAGGCTGTTACCTAAAGGCAGAGTCCCCACATCTCCTCCTTCTCTGCCTGTATCTTACAAGGCTGAGGCACCCTTCCTTAGGGAATAACTGGGGGTGGCTGTGCAGAAGAATAGTCCTGAAGAATCCTGAAATAGTC